AATCCACGAAAATAATAAACCCCAGAATTTTTTTTCGTTATTTGTAAAGGTTTTATAACTTTATCATAATATTAATAATCCTTTAAAGACGATTACAATTCATAATATTTGAAGTAAAATCAACGTTCTCATTTTTACTCCCTGTAAATATTTATCAATTGAATCGATGAAAAACGTGTGTCATCCTTTAATTTTTATATATTGCCTAGATCTGAAATTTTTATTTCTGTATTCAAATAATTGACTACAAAATACAATACCTGTCATTATTTAAAAACTCTTTTATAAAATATAGTAGAAAAACACAATGCAGAATTCTCATCGATAAAAATAAAAAAGGTTCATCTTAAAAACAATACAATAAACAGTTTTTTCTAATACAAAATACAAGGAAAATTTTACCTAGATCTTTTGAAATCTCATGAAAATAGTTTAAAACCTCAGTGCTCATCTGAATATACCCGATTGCAGCTCAACATATACTGTGGCCTTGGCACAATTTCCCGGATAAGAAGAAAGAATGTCGAAATGAGAGCAAAGAGTCATGGGCATTTTAAAAGTATCTTCTATCATACAATTGCAACATAAAATATCTCTCTTGTAGATTTTTATAGACAAGTATAATAGTATTGTATTTTTACAACTCTATAGCATTTCAATTTAAACATATCTATTTCATGAGATACCCTAAACAAATACAATATTTTACGATACTAATTTTCAGTGTATTAATATCCAAATTAACTTCATTGACAAAGAGAACTTTGCATAGCACTAGGGAGCATGAACCAACAGTAGATGACTCGCACGTGGGCAGAACGTACGTGGTGTGTTGTGATATCATCTATAAACGCCCACACCAGTTCCAAGAGTTCACGACTTCAAACGTGTGCCTTACCTCAGGGCTCTAATGACGTTTAATTTACGTTGACATGCCTAGATTCCAAAACGTGCTTCAACTTTCGTATGAGGAGAATATGCAACTATTCACAGATCATACTGAAAAATATTTTTACATAAATAACAGTTGAGATGTTATGGAAATTATTTTATATTCATCTTCCAATTATTATGGTTTTAATTAATAATAATTATGATATCATATGTTGTTACCATAAAACGTGCCAATCATCTTCATGATTGCAAATGATTAAATATAATTATTGTAGAACTTTAAAATTAATTGGATCAATAAAAGTTATAAAATTATTTATGGAATAATTTTTTAATATTTAATTTTCATCAAACGTGCGGGGTAACTGCTAGATTTCCGGGCGGCAACTCACCGATCGACCACTCTAGGCCTACTATACGGACAATAAAACACGGGAAATTTTAAATAACGCACGAATTTCTAAAATGAAAGCAGATTTTAAATACTTTCTTGGAAAAACCCATGTCTTTGCTCGTTTTTTTTTGACAATATCGAATGTTTAACGTCTATTTAAGTGTTAAACAGTTAAGTTAGATTTATTTACTCCGTATTTTTGGTTAGAATATGACCTGTATTCTCTAATATTGTAATTTACTCATAATTAATGAATTGTCATGTAACGGTTTTTCTTCCTAATGTTTAACGGTGAAATGAAATATTTAATTATCGGCCAATTTAACTACTAATTAAGTATTATTAATTATTGTAATAGAAGAGTTAAATTGCACTACACAGTACTCTTGTCCCCTTTTATGCTATTGAGCTCAGTTGTCCAGGATTCGTCATTAGGAAATAAGATAAGAGTTGAGTCAGATCAGCGGCTTAAAACAATAAAATCAGGTCAATTAGTCAGATAAGTAATTAGGATAAGTAATTAGCAAATAGTAAACAGTGAACGGTACCAAGCATATTAGATTTACAGTAATAAATCTTTATTTTAACAAACAAACAATCACCCTATGTACAGGATTTAAATCTGCCGCCGAGACGGCTTTAATGTCGGTAGCAACGGAATCTTTTTATCAATAAAAAGAATTTCACACAAGCTTAAGTAATATATACAGGTTTTAAATTTGTCGCTATTTATGCAGATTTTGAACAGACGGTATAAATAATAAATGACTTATCCAGTGAGTCGGTAATATAACAAGTCACTTTATCGAGACCTAACCTTGCAACAGTAAGGTTAATCAGTTTTAGAAAAACCCGCACTAAAAGGGTGGAGCAGAAAATAATAACAATTATTATAAATAAGCGGTCTTTTAAATACGGTCAACTAGTATTTTAACGTAAGGATTTCAATACAAGAAATTCGCGGTTTTAATTTGATGACTAATCAACAATAGTAACAATAATAATACGTCGCGTAATCACACCCACACAGACCCCAGTAAGACGACGGAGAGGTGAAATGCTCACACCCTTCGTTGTCCTTTTCAGAACGCAAAAACGGTTTGACTTGAGGTGGCGAAATGCTCACACACCTTAATTTCGGTCAAGTAGGTGAAATGCTCACACAGGCTTGACTGACAGATACTGATACAAGTGAGCCAAAAGCTGATTTGCCCATGCCCACAGATTCCAATTTATTGGCTTTTCCCCACGCACAAAGTGCGCGAAACGGTTTTGCGGTCGCCACCTGGTGGCGTACATGCGGACTAACACAGTACCTAAAGGCTATAACTATATATGTCAATTTAATTATTACCATGTGAGATTTATAACTAGTAATTGAATTGTTAAAATGATCTCTAAATTTAATTCATAATGATATACACTAATCGATAAACACTTAAATAAATAATTTTAAAATGGACTAAAGAAAAATAAAGGTAGAATGAATGAATATTAAATTGTATTTTTTCCGTTTTTTAACAAAATATAACTTTTAATAAAAAATAAAATTTAACTGTACACGGAGAAAAAATTCCAATAAAAATTACCGTGCTCAGCACAACAATCCACGCGCGAATGTTAATTCCCTAAAAAATTAAGACAACCTTCAAAGAAAAATTAGTAATCCTTTTGAAATTTTTATTATAGATTCAATATTTATTAAGGAACACCCTCAGTGCTATAGTTACTTTTTCCATACTGTAAACAAAGATGCCATTCATATTTTTCGTTACGATTTAATATTGGCGGCAACACGTTATATCATTACAATTTATCATAAATTTAAATGGATTGACGCGGTGGACTCATGGGTAAGTGTCAGTTTGACGCACGATGGGTCGCGGGTTCGAGTCCCGGCCGAAACAAAAGTCATTTTTATGATTTTTCTCGGGCCACTGTAAGTGGGAGGAAAATCTCTTCGGAGAGCCGGGTAGAGAGTTGTATCGACGACACAGGTTTTCTGCGTAAATCCCGATCGTAGGGATAGGAGGGGACAGTATTGTAAAACGTGCTGCATTCATTCCAACGAATTAATTAATTAAAAAAGTTAATTATCAATGAAGCTAATTTATTTATTTATATAACCAAAAAAATTATCATTAAACTTAAATAAAATTGTTTGACGGTAATTTAGTTATCACAGCTAACGTTACTAAATTTTGAGGTGCTGTGGAACACTAAATTTTCTGGTGCTGCTAAAGTAATTTTCAAAAAACTGAACGATACATTTTCTTATGTAACTTATAATTTTTGTATGTTGATCATTACTTTTACTTTTCAGTAAGTTTGAACTCTCATTCTTGAGCAGCACGATAATTTTTGTATGGATTTTTAAATAAAAATTAACGGAATTTTTTCTCCGTGTACAGTATCAAGATATTCAACTGATTAATTGAAACTAAAAGCCATAATTTTGACAATAATGATTATTAGTTACTACCAAAATACTTGTTGAATAAACAATAAAATATTTCAAGAAATCAATAATTTGAAGTTTCTCATTAAATTTAAAAATTTTTCCACTATTAATGTAATAATCCATTTGAAATGAAGAAAATATTATGGAAGCCTTAGTTTTATTAAGTATTATTAATCGAATAACATCCATTAAACCACAATATTCATTACAGAAGCTTAATAAATGCAATTACCGAAACTGTTAAAAGACGAGTATATTGGACAGCAGTTTGATAATAAAGGAATCCTAGAGAATGCATATTGTCTTCGTCGATTACTCATTTCATTGGAAGTTAATGTAACTGTATATCATTTTCATTAACGATCACTATCGTACCATTTACTACGAAGCAGTAACAAGAGTAAAGCAGAATAGTTATATCTAGTCAAGAGAAGTGGGTCAATGGTTTGTGAGACATTCAGTAAACAATACATATAGTCTATATATCAGGTGAAACTATCCAGTGAAATTGTATTCAAAAATTAAACTTGGAAATCTTCTGTGTTTCTAAACAAATGTTCGCTGTGGTAGACTGACTCAGCAATGATGTTGTTTCATTACGTACTGTACTGAATATTTAACAATGCAACATCTATGTTTATCTAAACTATCTCATTGTTCAATGAGAGATCTGTTACAAGTAATCAGTACAATTTTAAGCAATGAGTATTGATTAATTCTACCGAATATCATCATATAACCTACTTTGCTATTGATTTATTATCCGAAAAAAGTACATGTCTGTAAACAAAACTCGTTTCAATTTTTTATTCAATAAATCTTCTCAATGCATATCAGTAAGTTTTTTTATATCCTTTTATTCTTCAACAAAAACTTAAGAACAATATCTTTCAAAAGTTTGACTATTTTGTGGAAGATACATGTAATAAGTGCTTCAGTTTATTTATCAATGTAGGAGTGAAGAAGGCGACCTATTTTCATAAATGACACATTCATTATATTGTGTCTAGATTACATGGTACCAGGTCTGGAGATACTAGTGAATCAATAATTCTTCATTGAAGATGTTCATGCTCACGTTTGAATATAAGTGCCATTTTTTTAGAATATTGAGTGTGATGTATGATCTATTATCTTACATATATTCAAATATCTAAATAGATTGTCGTGGAATAAAATCATAGATAATATTCAGAAATATTGAAAACTTTTTTTCTGTGTTACTAATACAAGCATTTCACTTTAACTCACCTGACTTCAAGTAATTTTATGATGTTAGTAGACTTTGTGGTACTAATCCTTATTTTGCACGTAATTTTTATGCAATTTTTTTTTGTGCTTTGTGCTTGTGATGATCTAGACACCTGAAACAAACATAAAAAATATCACATTACTAACTTGAAAATGAGAAATAAATTCAATTGAAATATTTTTCTAAATTTAGGCAATACAATATGTATTTTCTTGCTACCTTGAAGTTTTAACTTGTGTTGAATGGCAAGCCAACAATATAATGGTAAATGACAATATAAAAAAATATAGTTAAGTGTTTTGTTACATTGAATAGATAAACAGTTATTTGAAAAGCGATTTTTTAAACGTTTATAAAATCATTACATATTATTTTTTTATAAAGTGCACTAACTACAAAGGGTAAAGTATTTTACAGTCTCTCTGTATACAAAAACATAAGAAAAAAGATCCTAGGAGGCTAAAATAAACGCAAGGTAAATATTGACATTGGAGATATAAAAAGATTTCTATATCATTGGAGATCCAATAAATATATTCATAAAAACCGATATCTTATAAAGATCAAACAAAGCTTATAATTGAATGATAAACACATTTAAGAACATCTTTATTGAATTAGCTCTAATTTTTTTTACTCTCGTCATTTCCTTGACTTTCCCTATACTATATAACTATCTAAGCTTACTGTGTACATGTATAATTATAAATAGCTTAATTGCCCCAACTTATTAAACGAAAATTGATTAATTCTATTATTGTTGTCATTTGTATTAAATTTAGAGAAAATCTTACATATTTTTAGTTTTTAAACGAAATAAAATTTTATTAATCAATATAAGAGTTCAATAATAGATATACTGCTCATTTTTTGCAGCAAAAAAAATGGAATGTACAGTTTTGAGCTAAAATTTTATTTTCGAATAGTTTTTGAGAAATAATTTTCATCCCCTAGAAATATATATGTGATTGAAATTATAATTGGAGGGTTGGGGATTAGTTTTTTCAGTGAAGTGACAAAGTCTTTTGGATATTACAAAAGTTCTGCTGACGTCTATGTTGTTTTTGGTATCAATCTTATCGAGAAAAATGTATCAAAAATAAAGAAAAAAATAAATGGTCCAATGAAGAATTGAAGAAAATGAGGAAGACTTTTACCAGTTGCTGCAATTACAAGGCATAACAGACAAAAAAAATAAAATAAAAAATAACATTTGATCAACTCAGTGATGGCAACAAAATTATTATAATATAATTAGTCCTTTAAAAGGCGAATAATTGCGGTAAAAATAATTAATGTTCAGTCAAGTAACACAATTACTAATATTTCAGCATACAACATAAGAGTTTGTTTAGCTGGTGGAAGATTGCTTTATACACAATAATTCTGACAAATTTTATTATATCCCATCTACAAAGTATTTACATTGTTCTTGAGTTTCTTTGATTTGCAAACTAGCATTTTATTTTTTATAACGACAATAACAAAAATAATTATATGCATATAAATACACGATCATTTATTTGACATTAAATAAATACTACGAAACATGAAAGAAAATATTTTTCGGCATTAAAAGATATTTTTGAAATTTCCAGAAACATAAGCACCACTTTAGCTATAACCACTTCTACCTCGTTATGTCCTTATTTTTATTATCCTTCTTTATTACACTCATTACATTCAGACTTAGCGTCGCAGTTGAGTCTGTGGTTGCGCTTGTGGCTATATTTTTGCTGAAATTACAATTACGCAAGTGTATTTGTCTATTAACAAAACTATAAGCTGGACATACGAAAGAGAGAGAGAGAGAGAAGATAAAATAAGTTAAGAGGTATATTCTGGTAGAGTAAAAAAAAATTTCATTTCAGAAGAAAAAAAGTGTTGATCTGCACGCAGAAAAACCTTCCATATAATTTCGTCTCATACACGCAAGAGAACCTTTGTAATTTACGTTCATTATAGAAGAATCTTACAACACTTCATCAAATACAATAGGAACAAAACAAACAACTTGAAAGTTATGCATATAAATAATCAATTACCCACGAATATTCATAGTTCATTGAGTTGGACAAGAAAAGTAATTGCGGTTAAATTAAGGACTTGCATTTGGCAGAATAGTCCTCTCTACAATTTTGTTTAAGTCGGCCAGGCGGGAAAATATATTTTGCGGTGGCAATAAATCCTTCGTATCTTCTGAGGCCACAAAGAGCGCATCTGTACGATGTAAACCGGGACGAACGAGATCTTCATGCATCATTATATCAAGTTATAGAAATACGTAGTATAGTGAGGAATAAGAATAAGAGAAACGTTAGCTAAAACTACACACTCGGATATCTCATATCATGTATCATGCATATAAACATCCACATATGTACTACATAGCTCACTCCAAAGTCATGTGCAGACGTGTCTACATGTATGTGTCGACGTGAGAAAGCACACGATGAGTACGTTCTTAAACACTATGAGAATAAATGGTTAACATCAGATAAATAATGTTGAGATAAGGTCAATATCATCTGACTTTTTTCCTAAAAATGAGAATTTCTCTGTGAATGTTTAGATGTTTATGCACAACCTACAGAGACTAAAAAAGTATTTCTAAGGCTTGAAACCAATGAATTCATTTTTTTTTAATCATTATTTATTGATTGTGAATTTCAGTGGAGTAAATTACAAGCAGAAATTTATGAAAATCTTTTTTAGAATAGCTGAATCAATATAATTGATAATATTTAGTTATTTTTGTCATGAAATGTAAGCTTTAAATTTCGAACATATTTTTTTTACTGAACGAAAATGTTTTTAAGGCACGTCGGCGGGGAAAGTGGTGAAGTTATGTAACATCTTGGTAATTACCCCGATAGCCAAATTTACATCATAATTACTTAAAATTGATGGTTTGTATCATCATCATATGCGTAAAGGTTGTTTGGCTTGTGAACAAAAATACTTTAATAATATTCACATTATTATATGAAGTTACATGAATATTAGGATAAAAGGATAGAAATGTAGCTGAAGTTTCGAACGTTCATATGAACGAAAAAAAAAAAAAAATTAAAAAATAAAAAAAAAAAAACTAAACCAACGCACAGGGATCATATGGAGTACGTAAAAAAAGATTATAAGTCAAATCCAACCCTTAGGATTTAAAAGAAAGCAGTAAATCCGAAGAAAAAAGGGTTGTTTTTACAAAACAAAAATCAACTTGGAAACACCGATTTAGGTCCACTCAAAAATTGGCAGAGATAGGGGAGAGCAGGGCTGAAAGTGCCGGGGGTAAATTGTGCCGATGCGAATATCTTGAAAACAGAGAGAGATAGATTCACGATCGTAGTGTGTCGCGTAATGCCTAACAGTTGGGCACACGCGGCTGCCATTTTAATTGTATCAGTGACGCGGACTGAGTGGCAGTGCATGTGAGGATCTTCCAGCGCTACGTAAGTAAATATTATCGTTTCGAAACTTTTTGGGCACAAGCTAGTATTTTTCGTGCTTTTAATATGAGAGTTTTAGTAAAATGTTTGTTATTCTTTCTAGTTTGTTATGCAGTGTAATTTTAATGCTTTAAGCCGAGTGATATTTGTACGTGAGACAAAATATCACACTCTCATAAGCGGGGTAAAATGTGCCGTTCATGTGGGGCTGCTTGTGCCGCGGCACAACCAACCTCTAAGCAACTTTTACACGGAGAAAAAATTCCGTTAATTTTTATTTAAAAATCCATACAAAAATTACCGTGCTGCTCAAGAATGTGAGTTCAAACTTACTGAAAAGTAAAAAGTAATGATCAACATACAAAAATTATAAGTTACATAAGAAAATGTATCCTTCAGTTTTTTGAAAATTACTTTGGCAGCACCAGAAAATTTAGTGTTCCACAGCACCTGAAAATTTAGTAACGTTAGCTGTGATAACTACGTAACCGACAAACAATTTTATTTAAGTTTAGTGATAATTTTTTTGGTTATATAAACAAATAAATAAATAAATTAGGTTCATTGATAATTAACTTTCTTAACTAATTAATTCGTTGGAATGAAATACGGCACACGTTTTACAATACTGCCCCCCCCTATCCCTACGATCGGGATCTTACGCAGAAAACCTGTGTCGTCGATACAACCACCCGGCTCTCCGAAGAGATCTTCCTCTCCCGCTCACGGTGGCCCGAGAAAAATCATATAAATGACTTTTGTCTCGGCCGGGACTCGAACCCGCGACCCATCGTGTGTCAAGCTGACGCTTACCCATGAGTCCACCGCGTCAATCCGTTTAAGCTTATCATAAATTGTTAAGATATAACGTGTTGCCGCCAATATTGAATCGTAACGAAAAATATGAATGTCATCTTTGTTTACAATATGGAAAAAGTAACTATAGCACTGAGGGTGTTCACACAATCAAAAACAAAAGCCGTAAGATGTACGCATGCGTACAAACCAATTTTTAACTTATTATGATGTTAGTATGCACGCGTACGTCTTAAATTGTACGTTTTACGGCTTATATTTTTGATTGTGTGAACGGTCTTACAATACAAAGAAAGATTGTGTTGGACCGATAATTCGAAGATTCCCGACCCAGCACGGAAACTCTCGAGAATAGAAAAAATTATAGGAGAGCACCCGAATTTTTCCTACCACACGGATCATAATAAATTATATACAGATTCTCATTTTTTTCTAGTCACTTACTAATTTTTGTTTAAAGTTTGAATAAAAATTAATATTTATCGAATATTACCGTGCTGCATAAGAATTTTTACTTTTACTCTTCTTAATAAATATTGAATCTATAATAAAAATTTTAAAAGGATTACTAATTTTTCTTTGAAGGTTGTCTTAATTTTTTAGGGAATTGACATTTGCGCGTGGATTGTTGTGCTGAGCACGGTAATTTTTATTGGAATTTTTTCTCCGTGTATTGTTTCAATATTGTTCATGTTTACGCGAGCACTTATAAAAAAAAGAAATAACTTTTTGACATGATACTTTATACTGCATTTATTGTCTTTGACAGAATGAGGACATACAAGCGAAAAACTCAAAGGGGAACTACATCTCAAGATCTTTTACAAAGGGCTGCTGATGCAGTCATCAAGGATGGACGTAAATTAAAAACTGTTGCACGTGAATTAGAAATTTGTCACACAACACTACAACGCTATGTCAAAAAAATAAAAAGTGGACTTGCTCCTGCGGTCGGATACAAACCAAGACTAGTGTTTAATGAGAAACAAGAGGCACTACTATCGAAGTACATCTTGAAAAGCGCTTCTATTTACTTCAGTCTTCTGCCGGAGGAAGTACGACAACTTGCGTACCAGTGTGCCGTGAAGTTTAATGTACAAAACATCCCACCATCTTGGCATACAAATGGTGAGGCTGGCAAGGATTGGTTGACAAACTTTCTGAAGAGGAATTCTACACTTTCCATAAGAACACCCGAAGCTACCAGTGCAGGACGCGCGAGCTCATTCAACCGACATAACGTGAATCAATTTTTCGAGAAACTTGGCGACTTGATCACAAAGCATAATCTTACTCCTTCACGTATCTGGAATGTAGACAAGACTGGTGTCCAAACTGTGCTGAAACCAAAGAAAATTTTGGCTGAAAAAGGAACAAAGCAAGTAGGAGCAATTGTTTCAACAGAGCGTGGAACTTTAGTCACTGTTGAGCTAGCGGTAAGTGCTATGGGAAACTCGATTCCACCAATGTTTGTATTTCCACGTTTGAAATATAAAGACCTATTTATCCGCGACGGTCCTCCTGAGTGTATTGGGGCTGGTAATCAATCCGGTTGGATGACAAGCACAGAGTTCTTAGTGTTTATAGATCATTTCATAAAACACACTAAGCCTAGTCCTGACGAGCCAGTGCTATTACTCCTAGACAATCATTCATCTCACATTGATATTGATGTGATTGAAAAAGCCAAGAGAAATTCTGTTATGTTATTATCGTTCCCACCACACTGCACCCACCGTCTGCAACTTCTGGATGTTGGTGTCAATGGCCCTTTTAAAACATACTGCTCTAAAGCTCAAAATAACTGGCTGAGAACTAATCCCGGGAAGGTTATGAGCGTTTATGAAATACCAGGTATAGTAAAATACGCTTTCCCGTTAGCAGCAACACCTATGAATATATGCAACGCATTCAAAAAGACTGGCATTTGGCCCTATGATTCAAACGTATTTACAGACGAAGATTACGCACCGTCTTTTGTCATTGATCGCCCGATGCCCGAAAATCGACCCTCACAAGGTACCGGCAACTTGCCTGTCCCTCCAAACAATCGAGAAAAGACTCCTGAATATTTTGATGAATCAAATTCTGTGGGCAGCAATGTAGAGATTGAGACTAGTCAAACAATACTAAAGCATGTTCCTGGGCAAAATGACTGCAGCGTTGACTGTACAAGTGAACCATCAGGTAATCAAGAACAAGAGACACGTCAGTGTTCTCAGGAGCCTATCCCTTGATGCAGCTTCCAGCTTCCTCAATCAGCTGATAACAACACAGGAGACAAAAATACAGCAATTTTCTCACCAGAGCTAATAAGACCACTGCCTAAAGCACCTCCCCGATTAATTGAACATAATAAAAGACGTAAAAGAAAGACAGTTGTTCTTACGGACACTCCAGAGAAAAATGCTTTGGCCGAAGAACAGGCTACTAAAAAGAAGAAGAAAGAAAGTAAAACTACAAAGAAGGTTAAGGGGAAGGGCAAGGGGAAAGGTAAACAAACAAAAAAACCGCCTAAGAAGCCCGCTAAGAAAAGAGTTTTGCAAGATGATGACAGTTCTGATGATGAACAAGAATGGTACTGTATCATATGTTGTGATGCCTATTCTAACTCTGCCCTGGAGAAAAATGGATTGAATGCAGAGAATGTAAGAATTGGGCTCATTTGCAATGCATTGAAGATGAAGAAAGCCTAGCATTTGTATGTTCTAATTGCTATTCTGATCAGTCATCCAAAGAATAACTAGTTTTGATATATTTTTTTGATTTCGTAAAAGGACTCAAAAGACTGATAAATAAGATAATAACTCTGTTACTTTATACTTTGAGATAGATCTTTATTATTTTTTGTGATATAGTCCTTAGGAACTGATATTTTTAATAATTGATCTCATTCGCATGAAAATAAGTACAAACTATTAATTAAAAATATGTTATTATAAATATATTATTAATACTATTAATAAAATATATTATAAACAACTGAATTTTAAAAACTGTTGATTTATAATGAAAAGTATAACGAATAAATATATTATTATGAAACTTATGTCTTTTAAATTTTAATTAATTTTCATTCATTTAAAACACCTAGCATTATCAAAGGCACAACCGACCTCAGTTACGGCACAACTTGCCCCAAAGTGGGGTTGGTAGTGCCTTGCCGCCGCTGTATAAAAAAATCATTTTTTCTAAAAAACTATAAAAAATGTGCAAAATCTGTAGGTAAATTCGTATTGTAGACAAAATTTCGCTTAGGATAAACCACTACTTTTAGGTATAGTACTTGTTTTATCCAAATTATATAAGGATTCGTTAAAATCGGCACTTTCAGCCCCGCTTTCCCCTACACTTTGCATTGTGCAAAAGATATCTGCCAATTTTTATTTTTCCACATTGACCGGAAGTCAGTCATTAGAATTTTTTAATTTTAGAAAATCCATGAAAATGCATTGTAGCTGGATAAAAAATACTATAACTTCGGAACAACGAGTTAGATCCACTCAAAAATTGGCAGAGATATTTTTCGCATCGTGCAAAAGATATCTGCTAATTTTTATTATTTCAAATTTTAAAAACATATTTTCTTCATACAATTATATTAAAGAAACTCATTTTCAATTAAAAAAATTTTTTTCCCTCAGATAAAAAAATTCAACTCATTTATTACATACATAAAAACGTATCAATTGATAATATTTCAACGTATTTTTGAAAAATTATCTAATCAGGTTATTTATATTTTTAAAAATAAAGTTGAGGTCATTTTTTTTCCGTATGAAATAAAAAGATAATTTAGATAATGAAAATAAAAATATCAGTGCTTTGCAGTGGTCTGGGTGCGACCCGAAAGGTCCACACGACCAACTTCTCAGTGGAAAAAATGAAAAAACAATTTGAATAGAACCCGTTTCCATTTTTTATAACAAATGGAATTGTTATAAACGAAATGAGTCTGTTTTTATTCATTTGATATGGTTAGTTACTTTATTTCAGTGAAAGAAAAAATTGTGCGTTAGAAGAATTCGAATGTACCTCATAGATCCTTTTTTTCATTATTTACAACGAATTTCATTGTTATACACGAAAAAAGTATGTTTTCATTTATGGCATACGGTTGGTAACATTTTTTTAGTAAACGGAAAAATTATGCGTTAAAAGTACTCATATATATAGAAAGGGTCCTTATTTTTATTGTTTATAACAATTTAAAACTTATTATTTAAATATTACTATGATCAATAATCACTTGTTAGTAACAATGTTCAATTGTTATGAACACAATTCCATATTATTGACAATTATTATGAACTATTATAGCGTCTTTAATGCTGTTTTCTCAATCCTGACACGAGTTTAAAATTCTTTCATTGCTGATATTGTTTTTTAAATTTTTTTTTTTCGATGAAATATTGTCATCATATATCCATACAAGTATTCCAATCATTTAATATTCATATTTCTGCAATGATCTTGAAATTTTGTCTAAAAAATGGTATAATTTATAAATTGCAAAATTCAAGTAATTTCCTTTTTTCCAGTTTTTTGATTCTGTCAAAAAAAATGGCTTTACCGATTTTCCTGAAAATTTAATCAGTTCTAAGTTACGTAATTACGCGTCGAATGCAGTTGGTCCCACGTCGATATCATTTTTTGTTCTCGAGATAATCGAGGCGAAAAATAATTCCGAACGTACGTACGCACATATGCACATACGCACAAACGCACATACGTACATACACACACACAGACGTCCACGTAAAAACTATCGTATTCAACTCTGGGGACCTTAAAACGTGGAGATATGTCAAAATTAGCGATTTGCAAAATCGGACCCATTACTATAACTTCCCACTGGGAAGTTCAAAATTGGCAGATATCTTTTGCACGATGCGAAAAATATCTCTGCCAATTTTTGAGTGGATCTAACTCGTTGTTCCGAAGTTACAGTATTTTTTATTCACCAACAATACATTTTCGTCGATTTTCTAACATTCAAAAATTCCAATGACTGACTTCCGGTCAATGTGGAAAAATAAAAATTGGCAGATATCTTTTGCACAATGCAAAGAATATCTCTGCCAATTTTTTAGTGGATCTAAATCGTTGTTCCCTAGTTGTTTTTTTTGTAAAAACAACCCTTTTTTCTTCGGATTTACTGCCTTCTTTTAAATTCTAAGGGTTGGATTTGACTTATATTCTTTTTTTACGTACTCCATATGATCCCTGTGCGTTGGTTTAATTTTTTTTTTTATTTTTCAATTTTTTTTTTTTTTTGGTTTATATGAACGTTCGAAACTTCAGCTACATAATTCTATATAAATTTATTTACTTTCAATTGATACTCAGGAATAAAATTCAAAATAATAATAACTAATAAAGATTTATTAATTGTTCATTTATATAGTAAAAATGTTTTAAAAGTACATTGAATGAATTTTGTACTTATTTAAACATTTTTACTACATGAATTTATAATTAAAAATTTTTAACTTCCCATTAGGATTGGTGAAATTTGAATTTTCATCATATCTTCACGTTTCATGGTATTTGCAAGCATATTGACCAATTTTTAGAATGATGTATGTATGTACGGACGTCAGCATTTTTTTCATTTTCGAATTCTCAAGAACGGATTAAGATATCAACTTCAACTAAAATTAATTCGAGAGATATTATTATAGAGAAAATCTGAGTGAAATTTGAACAAATTCGATCGAGCCGTTTTTTTTTATAACAAAAGAAGTAATAAAAAAATGAAAAGATTAGCTATTTAAAATACTTTTAAGTCAAACAATAACAGCTTCATTTGAAGATTGAGTCGATACTGATTGTACATCATTGTTCACAACCAAATATGACTTTCAACAATTACGCATTGTTTATAACAAATTTATATTGTTATAAACAATGCGTAATTGTTAAAAGTGCGTAATTAAAAATTGTATTTATTGATTAAGTAATGTGTTTATCACATGAATTTGGATGTTTTCAACAAACATTGATTATAACTATTTAAATTTGTTATAAAAAATTACTAATGGGAAGTTTGTCGTGTTAGCACAGACAAAGTGTGCTCAGACCTATTTTTATTCAATTATTATCAAATTTGTAATCATGGTGCTCGTAAGAATTATATGATTCTTATAATATTATAGTAACGATTTAAAAAATATTCTACTATAGTGGAATATTTATAAATTAGAATTTTTTTCACTATCCATTGACTAATATAAAATATGTTGATGAATCACGCTTTCACCAGTTGGTCAAATACGATATAAAGTACGATAAAGTACTATAATGCATTATAATTAATACCTAAGTTTCTTGATAATGATAATTTTTTTAAAAATATTGGTTATTTTATAACGAAAAATAATATTCAAATGATAATCGCGAGACAATCCAATTTGTTCGATTTTGCGATACCGAGCCTGAAGAAGGTAGAATCGACAGCCAATGATTGTGATGTCCGCACTGAGAAAAAAGATATTTTGAGTCAAATGAATTTCTGTTTTCCCAACTGCGCGGCGGAGTTGGATACGGCAAAGCCCGTATAGGCGTTTACTCAATTCCCTGGCGTAGTCGGCAGGTCAATATTGTCAATTTCGTAAGGAATTGAGATACGTCGTCAGCAGTTCGTCCTGTTAACTATGAATTTGGTTTAATTATTATTATTGTTGATTCCAAAAAAAGGAATTTGGTTCAACTGAAATAAAGCGTTCAAGTGAAACTGTTTACTTTTGAAATAATTAGCATTATTATTGAATAAAATAATTTTTACTTTGATTTGCTTTTTATTATTATTGATTCTAAAAAAAAATTATGTGGTTCAACATGAAAAAAGGGGTTCAATAAAAACTATTTGCCTTTGCTACAATATAAAAAATATTTTCAGGCAATTGCTGGCCGTTTAGGTTTAAACGCGAAAATATTCCATGCAAAATTAGTTTCGATTTGAATGAATACTATCATTTCATCGAAAGAATGATAAACATCACTCTCTCAGTTCTATGTTTAATTTATTTGATTATTTCTTACAATTATTTTGGTAGATTAGGTTATTGACATAAATATTCGTGAATGTTCAGATAAACTTTTTTTTATTACATAATATACACATACAAAATTATAGGTTAATACATATTTTTGAAAATAATCATTAACGTCAATACAATTAGAAAAAAATTTACTTATTCTAGACATTGTATTTAAATAAATGGTATACATGATAACGTTCTTAAATTATAAACATTTCGAGGTTTTTTATAAATTAACATTTCATCTTCTATACAGCACCATTCAAAGTCTGATTCAATATCGTAAGCTTGGTAATGTTCATTATAATTTTTAATTTTTGACAAATAAAAAAAACCTTAACATCATCTCCTATAAGAATATACTTAACTTCGGCGAATTCATCGCGATCGGTTACATCGCTGATATTTAGAATCGTTTTTAAATTATATTTAATACCATTTATTTCTATCCATTTTGCACTCTGAAAACTATTTATTTTACTCAAATTTTCCCCTGTATCAGTTGACGAAAAATTGTATTCTTTAATATCATCCAATTTTATGATTATTGAAGGACTTTTACAAATTCTGGTGCTAAATCCTCTTCTACCTACAAATCGCTCACAAAGCATCAATTGATTTTTCAATGCTAAACTGTAACAAACATTAATCCTTGATCTACATACTGTTGCATATGATTTAAAATCTTTATGTTTGCCTTCATAACGAATACATGATACAGGCCACATTGGTCCAATAGTTCTAATTATGCGCGGATAGTGAATCATAAAATGAAATTTAGGTAATAAATGTTGAGCGACGAAAAGATTTAAATACGATTGATGGTGTTCAGAGATTAATGTCTCTAATTTTTTTATCGATTCTTCGTCGAAATCATTATTTGTTAAAATACACGTTATTTTTCTTAGTGACAAATAAAGATTCCAATATTTATTGCTTTCAGGAACAATATCGCCAATTATGAGATTAAGGGTAGTAACTAATACACGCATTTCAGAACTCGTACAAGTGTAATAACCAGTCGCTAAATTTGCTTGAGTAAACTTAGGAAATGTATTATTCGAAGAACATGAGCCAAAATTAAAATATTTTATTCTATCATTTAACATATCTAATGATAGTAAGTTATTTTTATTCTCAACAATATGTTTTAAAATTAAGGGCAGTTCGTATCTCCAAATTCCTTCAAAAAGGTCATGCATGAGATCGCCATAAAGGTTAACTGTTAAATGGAAATTTGGTATGTCATGAAAAAAGCATCCTTGTTTGATACCATTCTGTAAATTTAATAAGTCTGCTTCATAATTTTTCTTATTTCTAATCATTGTATTATTTTCTTTTAACTGTTTTTCCATTTGATCTTTATGTTCTCGACAGAATCTACAATAATGGTTGGAATTAAATGACTCATGTAGTCCGAATAAACAGTTTAAGCCTAAATTATCTCCACTCAATAATGCTAAAGCGAAATAAACTCTTTGAACACCATTTTCTGTGTTTATAACTATTCCTTCGTTTTTCAGAAATATTAATTCATTTATTAGTAACATTTAGTAGTATTAAATGTTTCTTTTATTATGTGACCTGTTAGGTCTTTTCTATCAATAGATTTATGAATTAAGGTTAAAAAAATATTTTCCAATAATGAAGAATATTCCGGTGGTAAACAAGTTATTTTAAAATATATCAATCCAATTTTATTAACTCCCGTGTGCGAACCAAGTGGATTATTTATTTCTAGATCATCAAAGTAAACAGTTAATGGGAGAACTGATTTATTTGCGAATTCTAGTTTAATTTTCTGCCATAGATTGGCTTTTAGGAAATTATCGATCTTATTGGGATTAGATTGTTCAATTTCTTTCATGTACGATGTTATTTCTTTGAAAACGTTCGGTAATTCTAGGAAAGATTTTAAGATTTTTCTCATAGGTATAAATTGACCTTCGGAATTTTTTAAATCAAGCGTACTTTCATCTTTTACAATTTTTTTACGAAGAACAGTTTGAATGGTAAACGGAATCGGTTCTATTAAATACCCAAATTTTTGGAAGTGGCATTGTCGTAAATAATCGGTTTCTAAACCCTTAAAAGGTTTAGAAATGATGTCTAATGCATTTTTTGTCCTTGTATCGAAAATATTTGCATCAGTCATTGTCTGTTTCAGAAAATCTAATCCGCACGTTTTAAATAATTCACTAGTATTTTCAATAATTGTTTGTATGATTGATCTCGGCACATGGGGATTAGTGTGTAGCTTTGCAATAAAAGAGATAGCGGCCGAAGAGACAATGTTTTTTATTTCATTGATATCAAATTTGATAGACGAGATATTACTGACATCATTATCGAAGTCTGTATTAACAGAAATATTGTCGACTAATGGGCTTGTATCCTTACAATCTACACAATTAACTGCTTCAATCTGAGGGAATGTTTCTACATTATTTGGAAAAATCAATTGATGCTTGCTACGAATGTGTTTTTTGTAACTATAAATATTAGTACATATTTTCATGCATGATAATTGGCGACAAGTTACTGTCTCATCAAAACGTAAACTATGTTTTAGTTTCAAATGTGCAAAAAGGATACTTTGATTTATGCTTCTATTTAGACAAAAAGGGCATAGGTAGTCCATCTTATACATAAGGGTCAGATACCAACAAAAATATAAAGAATATAATATATAATGAAACGCACTTTTTCTGCTAAAAATTAATAATTGATAATACTATATGTTGCGACATTAACAAATCACTTGAAGTGTTTCAAAATTCTGGCAAGATGGGGGTATTTCGTATCGTAGGGGGTTGTGAATTTATATAATGCTAATTGCAAAAAAAACCAAATTTGTCGTGATTGTGGGGGGTATTCTGCATGACATGCAAAAAAAATCTTAAAACAAATATCTAATGCCTTTAACGGCGAGTCGAACTGGTAACGCACTTTATCAACTATTACATAAAAATTGCTCACACTTTCCAAAGTAGCTCCTTGTCCAATGATGTACGGCTGAACTTTTAATCCATACTGATGCATTTGGTCGACTAATTGGTCGTGACTGGATAGAATGTCATCTGATGTCTGTGAAAAGTATATAGATGTTTATACATTAGTTATTTTATTTCAGTAAATTTCATTTGAATTCATCAATATAAAAATCATGTCTTGTACTTACTCGGACGTAAGCAACCATACCACGTTGACTCTCTGGACAACTTGGTTTCCAAATCTCATTCCCTTTCCGTACAACGCCTGCTTTTGGAGGGAGCAAATATGCTAATAAAGAGATTTGTATGAATTGTTTTGAGTCTGGAAGTAAATCAAAAAAATTAATACAATTGGTACCTTTAATTATTAACATGGAAAATAAGTACGTAACCAAAAAAAGAATCAATCAAATAATAAATAACAGATATACCATTAGACAATATAATCGATAAATAAGTTGATAAAAAAATAGATTTTTCAATCTTACATTTATTGACGTCGTCCTTCTCGAGTGTGTCCCATAGATGTTTTTCTAACTCGCAGCTTGGTTGCGACTTGGATAGTTTATCAAAGAAACTGTCCCAAGCCGAAAAAATATTAGAAACTGCTGTAGGATATAATTCTGCAAAATCTATATCGAGGAGTTTATGCCCATGCTCAGCATTAGCAAGGGCCGAATATTTTTTAAAATAATCAGAGACGGTACCATCAGTAGTAATTAATTGATGGTAGCGTGCCCGACAAGTTTTTCTCCAATATTCAATTATTTCCGGAAAAGTGTTGTTATGTTCTATCCAATACAACAATTGTTTGATTTCATCTGCAATTAATAAAAAATAAATTTAATTCGCATACACATTTATTTTATGTTTTAATCAAAAACTATTTACAATTGTTAAATCTGATAATTGATTAAAAAATTACTACCTGATATCTCCACTGGAATTTTCTTCACTGCATTCGATTGTTTCCGTTTAGATGACCAGCCGCTCATGGATCTGTATCTCTGTAATTTATTAGCGAATTTATCGCCAAGTCTGCCTCTTCTTTTCGTATGGATATTATTTTCGGTATCCCGCTTTCTTTTAGGAGAAATGTAATACGTATCCCGTTGCTCGTTCGGGAAAATTTGAAGGATTTCATCCGTTATGTCAGACAAATCATCATTGGATACATAACTGAAACATGGTAAATCATTTCTAGATTATGATTTACTCGGTAGAAATTAATTGTAAATATTTTCATCATTTATTGTAAGTATATACGCACCTGTCACAGCTCGTAATTAAGTCTGAAACAATGATGTCACATAGTTGCAGACTGGACAGATCAGATAACTCACCGTTGAGTCGGTATTCTTCAGTTAAAACTTCGCCGAATGCACCAGAGTTCTGTAAGAGTGTTTGAACGTAATTTGATGTGTCGTTTTTAATCTTTTTCCTATATTCACTTTCGTGACCATATGGCCGATCGTTTATTGTACGGTTTCCGTTATTATGAGAGTCACTGCTTTCACCAGATATCTTAAAAAAAATTATTGTGTATTATTCACATATATATATCTTACTTGATATTTAGGATATGATAAAACTTTGCGACTCACAATTTCACTACACTCTTCATTGTCACTGGTCGGGATTTCAGAAGAAGTTGATGGCGTGGAACAGTCTTGATGAAATGTATCTTTTTTCAAAAAATTTTTCCATTTGAACGTGAATTCCAGCTGGTCACCAATTATTGGAATAAGCTGTTTGATGGATGCATCATCAAGAAGTTTAAATCTATTGATTGTTATTTTTGATGCTAAAAGATAATTATTGATTCAGTTACTTCTTATTTTTATTCATTATCAAATTCATCACTATACATTACCTTTGAATGTATCAACTAGATCTTCAAAATTCCACTTTATTAAAATCTCACGCGTTTCTTCATCCGCCATTGCACAACACTATCCTGTACTAGTTCAATGAGTCTAGGAAAAAAACACAAAATTGAATGTATTTCCACTATTTTGCACAACACTATCAAGCACTAGTCCAATGAGTTTAGGGAAACAGCACAAGACCGAATGTATATTCACTAATTTTGACGACACTATCGAGCACTAGTTCAATGAGTTTCGGGGAACAGCACAAGACTGAATGAGTTTTTTCGAAAAGAATGGTACATGTTGCACGGAAAAACTTAAGGAATACGGTTGATGAATGCATATTTTGTTATTTGCTTGTGCCACAGGTAGGAAACAAGCAGACAAGACAACCAAATAGGCGCCGGGAATTTCCAGCAATAAAACCCTATAGGGTGCAATAAAACCCCCGGCGCCTTATAAGTACAACGAAATGTTTTATTTTCTGTATCTAGGATCATGGGTGTATTGCTCATTTAACGAACGTAAAGCTGAAAAAATACTGAATCAAGTACGTAAATGAGTCCCTTTTTATTTAAATAAACTAAAATTATAGTTAACAAAAGTAGAATAAATACGGAACACTAAGTGACTAAATTCATTGTTGCAATGGAGTGGGTTGCAGTTATATTTAGCAAAATCCAAAAAACAATGAATCAATTGTTTAATTCAATTAATTTAGCTTATAAGGACTTTCTACAAATTCATAATAAATACGTTCATTTCTATATTCATTTTTGTCAACTGTATAGCCCATATCAGTCAATGATACTACAAGAATTATTGCAATTGCACTTACTTATTTTAAATCAAAGTATATTGTCATTTTTTTTATTGATGATATGTTTCGCACAACGACCTGTAAACATTTCCAAGAAATCCCTCAACATTTTAAATAAATTCAAAACAAATTTATTTGAATGTATAAATTTCTAGGTCAATTATTGACGATTTATTTATTGTACTAATAATTCTGTAGTATCAATAAATAAATTCATCTATCCAATTCAAATGTAGTGGACTCAACTCCACCTAAAACTTAAACTCAATTCCCTCGCGCAGTTGGTTTAAAAGGAGCTGCATAGTTATTCTGATTCCGACAGGCTTGTGTGAATCAGAATGCTATAGA